GGATGGATGTGATGGAGTAAGATGGATGGATGTGATGGAGTAAGATGGGTGGATGTGATGGAGTAAGATGGGTGGGTGTGATGGAGTAAGATGGGTGGATGTGATGGAGTGAGATGGATGGATGTGATGGAGTAAGATGGATGGATGTGATGGAGTAAGATGGGTGGATGTGATGGAGTAAGATGGGTGGATGTGATGGAGTAAGATGGGTGGATGTGATGGAGTAAGATGGATGGATGTGATGGAGTAAGATGGGTGGGTGTGATGGAGTAAGATGGGTGGATGTGATGGAGTAAGATGGATGGATGTGATGGAGTAAGATGGATGGATGTGATGGAGTAAGATGGGTGGATGTGATGGAGTGAGATGGATGGATGTGATGGAGTAAGATGGATGGATGTGATGGAGTAAGATGGGTGGATGTGATGGAGTAAGATGGGTGGGTGTGATGGAGTAAGATGGGTGGATGTGATGGAGTGAGATGGATGGATGTGATGGAGTAAGATGGGTGGATGTGATGGAGTAAGATGGGTGGGTGTGATGGAGTAAGATGGGTGGGTGTGATGGAGTGAGATGGATGGATGTGATGGAGTAAGATGGATGGATGTGATGGAGTAAGATGGATGGATGTGATGGAGTAAGATGGATGGATGTGATGGAGTAAGATGGGTGGATGTGATGGAGTAAGATGGGTGGGTGTGATGGAGTAAGATGGGTGGATGTGATGGAGTAAGATGGATGGATGTGATGGAGTAAGATGGATGGATGTGATGGAGTAAGATGGGTGGATGTGATGGAGTGAGATGGATGGATGTGATGGAGTAAGATGGATGGATGTGATGGAGTAAGATGGGTGGATGTGATGGAGTAAGATGGGTGGGTGTGATGGAGTAAGATGGGTGGATGTGATGGAGTGAGATGGATGGATGTGATGGAGTAAGATGGGTGGATGTGATGGAGTAAGATGGGTGGGTGTGATGGAGTAAGATGGGTGGGTGTGATGGAGTGAGATGGATGGATGTGATGGAGTAAGATGGATGGATGTGATGGAGTAAGATGGGTGGATGTGATGGAGTAAGATGGATGGATGTGATGGAGTGAGATGGATGGATGTGATGGAGTGAGATGGGTGGATGTGATGGAGTAAGATGGGTGGATGTGATGGAGTAAGATGGGTGGATGTGATGGAGTAAGATGGATGGATGTGATGGAGTAAGATGGGTGGATGTGATGGAGTAAGATGGATGGATGTGATGGAGTAAGATGGGTGGATGTGATGGAGTAAGATATGTGGATGTGTTGGAGTAAGATGGGTGGATGTATTGGAGTAAGATGGGTGGATGTGATGGAGTAAGACTATTGATGTGATGGAGTAAGATGGATGGATGTGATGGAGTAAGATGGATGGATGTGATGGAGTGAGATGGATGGATGTGATGGAGTAAGATGGATGGATGTGATGGAGTAAGATGGATGGATGTGATGAAGTAAGATGGATGGATGTGATGGAGTAAGATGGATGGATGTGATGGAGTGAGATGGATGGATGTGATGGAGTAAGATGGATGGATGTGATGGAGTAAGATGGATGGATGTGATGGAGTGAGATGGATGGATGTGATGGAGTAAGATGGATGGATGTGATGGAGTAAGATGGGTGTATGTGATGGAGTAAGATGGGTGGGTGTGATGGAGTAAGATGGGTGGATGTGATGGAGTAAGATGGGTGGATGTGATGGAGTAAGATGGGTGGATGTGATGGAGTAAGATGGGTGGATGTGATGGAGTAAGATGGGTGGATGTGATGGAGTAAGATGGGTGGATGTGATGGAGTAAGATGGGTGGATGTGATGGAGTAAGATGGGTGGATGTGATGGAGTAAGATGGGTGGGTGTGATGGAGTAAGATGGGTGGATGTGATGAAGTAAGATGGATGGATGTGATGAAGTAAGATGGATGGATGTGATGGAGTAAGATGGATGGATGTGATGGAGTGAGATGGATGGATGTGATGGAGTAAGATGGATGGATGTGATGGAGTAAGATGGGTGGATGTGATGGAGTAAGATGGGTGGGTGTGATGGAGTAAGATGGGTGGATGTGATGAAGTAAGATGGATGGATGTGATGAAGTAAGATGGATGGATGTGATGGAGTAAGATGGATGGATGTGATGGAGTAAGATGGATGGATGTGATGGAGTGAGATGGATGGATGTGATGGAGTAAGATGGATGGATGTGATGGAGTAAGATGGGTGGATGTGATGGAGTAAGATGGGTGGGTGTGATGGAGTAAGATGGGTGGATGTGATGGAGTAAGATGGGTGGATGTGATGGAGTAAGATGGATGGATGTGATGGAGTAAGATGGGTGGATGTGATGGAGTAAGATGGGTGGGTGTGATGGAGTAAGATGGGTGGATGTGATGGAGTAAGATGGATGGATGTGATGGAGTAAGATGGATGGATGTGATGGAGTAAGATGGGTGGATGTGATGGAGTAAGATGGATGGATGTGATGGAGTAAGATGGGTGGGTGTGATGGAGTAAGATGGGTGGATGTGATGGAGTAAGATGGATGGATGTGATGGAGTAAGATGGGTGGGTGTGATGGAGTAAGATGGATGGATGTGATGGAGTAAGATATGTGGATGTGTTGGAGTAAGATGGGTGGATGTATTGGAGTAAGATGGGTGGATGTGATGGAGTAAGACTATTGATGTGATGGAGTAAGATGGATGGATGTGATGGAGTAAGATGGATGGATGTGATGGAGTGAGATGGGTGGATGTATTGGAGTAAGATGGGTGGATGTGATGGAGTAAGACTATTGATGTGATGGAGTAAGATGATGGATGTGATGGAGTAAGATGGGTGGATGTGATGGAGTAAGATGGGTGGATGTGATGGAGTAGGATGGGTGGATGTGATGGAGTAAGATGGATGGATGTGATGGAGTGAGATGGGTGGATGTGATGGAGTAAGATGGATGGATGTGATGGAGTAAGATGGGTGGATGTGATGAAGTAAGATGGGTGGATGTGATGGAGTAAGATGGGTGGATGTGATGAAGTAAGATGGATGGATGTGATGGAGTAAGATGGATGGATGTGATGGAGTAAGATGGGTGGATGTGATGAAGTAAGATGGATGGATGTGATGGAGTAAGATGGATGGATGTGATGGAGTAAGATGGATGGATGTGATGGAGTAAGATGGATGGATGTGATGGAGTAAGATGGATGGATGTGATGGAGTAAGATGGGTGGATGTGATGGAGTAAGATGGATGGATGTGATGGAGTGAGATGGGTGGATGTGATGGAGTAAGATGGATGGATGTGATGGAGTAAGATGGGTGGATGTGATGGAGTAAGATGGATGGATGTGATGGAGTAAGATGGATGGATGTGATGGAGTAAGATGGATGGATGTGATGGAGTAAGATGGGTGGATGTGATGGAGTAAGATGGGTGGATGTGATGGAGTAAGATGGGTGGATGTGATGGAGTAAGATGGGTGGATGTGATGGAGTAAGATGGGTGGGTGTGATGGAGTAAGATGGGTGGATGTGATGGAGTAAGATGGGTGGATGTGATGGAGTAAGATGGGTGGATGTGATGGAGTGAGATGGATGGATGTGATGGAGTAAGATGGATGGATGTGATGGAGTAAGATGGGTGGATGTGATGGAGTAAGATGGGTGGATGTGATGGAGTAAGATGGGTGGATGTGATGGAGTAAGATGGGTGGGTGTGATGGAGTAAGATGGGTGGATGTGATGGAGTAAGATGGATGGATGTGATGGAGTGAGATGGGTGGATGTGATGGAGTAAGATGGATGGATGTGATGGAGTAAGATGGATGGATGTGATGGAGTAAGATGGATGGATGTGATGGAGTAAGATGGATGGATGTGATGGAGTAAGATGGGTGGATGTGATGAAGTAAGATGGGTGGATGTGATGGAGTAAGATGGGTGGATGTGATGGAGTAAGATGGGTGGATGTGATGGAGTGAGATGGATGGATGTGATGGAGTAAGATGGATGGATGTGATGGAGTAAGATGGGTGGATGTGATGGAGTAAGATGGATGGATGTGATGGAGTAAGATGGGTGGATGTGATGAAGTAAGATGGATGGATGTGATGGAGTAAGATGGATGGATGTGATGGAGTAAGATGGGTTGATGTGTTGATGTATGAGGTAAGGTTATGTTGGTGTTGGGTACATTATGGTTAGATACGTGGATTAAAGTGTAGAGAGTGATGTTATGGATGGTTTGAAGAATAAAATAACGATTAAGCTACATTTGGGATGTTTCCCGCTCATGGGGAATGAGAGGACAGGCAATACAACATGTTATCAAGTCAGAACAACTACATGACTACGATATAGAGGTCGACGTGAATACCTGCGTTAAACTCATGATCGAAAATAGGAAGCGTTTCTAGACGTGTTTTATATTTGTTATAATGACGATGACCAGTCGCCATATTTCGGCCACAGAAACCAGTGGCTGATGGCAGGAGCAATGCGGATACAACCGACCAATTCCTGTGTCACCACTTTCAAAGCGCATCCCGCATGTATTGTTTAAAGAGGACGTAAAATCTATTTCAGCTTACGTGATGTTGTTCCCATTTGGGAAAAAGTATTTTGGTATTATTAGTAACTTTCTTATATATCTAAAAACTGTGGTTTATATAAGCATCAATATTTGGAAAGAGAGCAGTGAAATATTCGTTTTATTGAACACAAACGTATGGTACGCTTAACTTCGTTGTTTGGTCAGAATTATGATTTTCCATTTTCCATAAATATTTTATGGGGGAATAGTTATCGTATAAATTGCTCATTTTGTGATTCAAAGTTTGTCACTTTTAACAATAATTACAGTAACCGACAATTTATTTTGTAAATGTCAAAGCAGCTGCAATGCGCAAATTCTATTTCCCAGAGTTATCGTTCTTAGCGGGCACCTGCCAGAGGGCGTGCCAGATGTTCTCCATGAATGAACTTGCGATGACACAATCTAATCTAGTGGCCTCAACGCTTCAATTCAAAATATGGCCGTGAGTCATTCCGGAGGATGGTAAATACTGTGACGTAACGAATATGCTGTGTGGTTAGTTTCAGGAGTGAGACAGTGGATTACTAATGCCTCTCTAAAACCCAGGACAGCGTGGTCAGTATTGTGGAGTGGACAACATGTCGCAGGGCGAGGAGCAGACGACACCCGTACAGGGTTTAACAAGGAAATTATTTGCGTGTGTGGATTTTATTCAGGGCTATTTTGTAGACGCTGCCCTGTTTTGTTTCTTTCTCTCGCGGCACATGTCTCTGCCGTTATTCCAGGAATATGTTCAAGACCAAATCCACAAAAAACATAACCTCAACTTGATAGACATCCAGAAAGGCATGAGTGGGAATGAGACAAGCTCCTGGCACGAGGCTCAGCAGGAAAGTGTGCTCGCAGTGTTAGGACTCCAGATTGCGGAGGGTTTACCGGCCATCATCACCGTCCTCATCCTGGGGGCTGTCAGTGACAGAACAGGTAGACGGAAGATCCTTCTGTGGCTTCCCTCGCTGGGGAGTGTTGCACATTCTCTCATCTATGTTCTGATTCTGTACACTGGATGGAACCTGGATGGCCTGTTTATGGCGTCGGCCCTCAGGGGAATCAGTGGGAGTATGACTGCCTTCTTGGCTGGATCAACTTATTTTGCGATTAACAGCGTTAAACCAAATCAAAGAGCCTCGCGCCTTGCTATCCAGGAGTTTTTGAACGGCGGTGCATATGCTCTTGGTAATATCATGGTTGGATTCTGGGTCAAGTCCAGTGGATTTTTGCAACCATTTTGGTTCACTTTGATCTGTGGAGTGATCGCCTTCTTGATATCCTTCTTCCTGGTACAGGAGTGCCCACTCAGCGAAGCAGACCGACCGGTTCGACACAGAAGGACTGGAAATTGTTGCAAAGATTTGTTTGCACCCATGGCCAAAATATTCAACTGTTGTAAAAACCGAGGCCTGATTAAAGTCTGGATGGCCATTTTAGCTTTCCAGACGTACGCCGCAGTGCATATTGGCCAGGAGAATGTCTTAGTGTTGTATCTTAGTGGACAGCCGTATTTGTATTCCTGGCGTACGGATGTGACGGGGCCTGGGCCATATGTAAAGATCGGCCTGTTCTTGTCCGTCATCATGGCCGTGGCAGCGGCGGCCGTGGCGCTGAGTCCACCGATAATGAGGAGGTTCCTGACAGAATCAAACATCGCCTTCATTGGATACTTCTCCAAGGCCCTGGGCACCCTCTGGATTGCTGTTGTTCATAATGAAACAATTTTATATTTTGGTAAGTCAAATAAGGTTAAGTCTGTGTAGAAATTAACAATTTGCTTTCAACACTCACTAATTCTGTAAGTTAGAAGAAGCCCTATCATTGGGAACAAATGAAGACAAAACAACTGTCGACCCGTGAAGATCCAGGATAGAATAGGTCTTCAGCATCCCATGGTTGCCGTAAAAGGCATCTATGCTTGTCGTAAGAGGCAACTAATGGGAATGAGTAGTCATCCCCATTGCGTGGATCGATGCTCATGATGTCAATCACTGGTCCAGACTCAATTATTTACAGACCACTGTCATATAGCTGGAATATTGCTGAGTGTGGCGATAAACAACAAAGAAACAAACAAAACTGAACAGCTGTCAATCATGTATGTATTAAAACATTCGTCTACCATCTCTGGTGGCACAGTTGTGTTAGATACTGGATTTGCATCCCCTTGTCATACCAGGATCCACTGATGCTGCATCAAGTGTGTTGGGGTCCTGGTGAGCACCATACTTGTACTCAACACTTTCACCAGTGCTAAAATCTAAAACTTATGCCTTGTTTGCCTTCCTCCCCCATTTAAAGGCAAATAAGCAGTTGCCATGGTTGCAGCAAGTTTCTTTTAGGTCATTCAAACACCAAGTCGTGTCTCTGCCAACTGGAGTAGCTTATTATATATCAATTAATCTTACAGTTAATCATTACCCTAATCACAGACACTATGTCTGCTGTCTAATGTAGTAATTACATCTTGACCTGAAGCTATGCTGAATACATGCTGAAGCTAGGCAGCAGAGAAGTCTGTGAGCTGACATGTTATATATGCCATGATAAGACTGAAAATTGTTCCAAGTGCGGTTCCACCCAACTTACCAACAGTGAGGGATGGTTGGGTAGCATAGTGGTTAAACATGTTAAAGGCAGCCTTCGAAATTCAAACTGCTAAATATTTTGTGCTGAGGACAAGTAAAGATCTCATAACATTGTAAACATTTTGTTATGGTTCAGGACTAGCTACAAACTCTTGACAGGTGAAAAGTGAAAAATAAGGTTTCCCCTGGTACTCTGGACTGGTCTTACCACCCACACAACTGCCCCCACCCCTAACCCTGACTTGTCTTAACACCCAAACAACTGCCCCCACCCCTAACCCTGGTACTCTGGACTGGTCCTAACACCCAAACAACTGCCCCCACCCCTAACCCTAACTCTGGTACTCTGGACTGGTCTTACCACCCACACAACTGCCCCCTACCCTAACCCTGACTTGTCTTAACACCCAAACAACTGCCCCCACCCCTAACCCTGGTACTCTGGACTGGTCCTAACACCCACACAACTGCCCCCACCCCTAACCCTGACTTGTCTTAACACCCACACAACTGCCCCCACCCCTAACCCTGACTTGTCTTAACACCCACACAACTGCCCCCACCCCTAACCCTACCCTGTCCCTCCCTCGGAATTTCTACGGTTGTTAAAGTGCTCCCTTTGAAACCCCACAAGGGGACCATGTGTGAAGCCCATTTCCGGTGTCCCCTGCCATTTCCGATGTCCCCTGCCATTTCCGGTGTCCCCGACCATTTCCGGTGTCCCTGACCATTTCCGATGTGCCCTGCCATTTTCCGATGTGCCCTGCCATTTTCGGTGTCCCCGACCATTTCCGATGTGCCCTGCCATTTCCGGTGTCCCCTGCCATTTCCGGTGTCCCCGACCATTTCCGGTGTCCCCGACCATTTCCGATGTGCCCTGCCATTTCCGATGTGCCCTGCCATTTCCGGTGTCCCCTGCCATTTCCGGTGTCCCCTGCCATTTCCGGTATCCCCTGCCATTTCCGGTGTCCCCTGCCATTTCCGGTGTCCCCTGCCATTTCTGGTATCCCCTGCCATTTCCGGTGTCCCCAGCCATTTCCGGTGTCCCCTGCCATTTCTGCATGGTATCCCCTGCCATTTCTGGTATCCCCGACCATTTCCGGTGTCGCCTGCCATTTCCGATGTGCCCTGCCATTTACGGTATCCCCGACCATTTCCGATTTTCCCGACCATTTCCGATGTCCCCTGCCATTGCTAATGTGCCCTGCCATTTCCGGTATCCCCGACCATTTCCGATGTCCCCTGCTATTTCCGGTGTCCCCTGCCATTTCTGGTATCCCCTGCCATTTCTGATGTCTCCTGCCATTTCTGCATGGTATCCCCTGCCATTTCCGATGTCCCCTGCCATTTCCGGTGTCCTCTGCTATTTTCTGTGTCCCCTGCCATTTCCGGTGTCCCCTGCCATTTCCGGTGTCCCCGACCATTTCCGATGTCCCTGCCATTTCCGGTGTCCCCGACCATTTCCGGTGTCCCCTGCCATTTCCAATGTGCCCTGCCATTTCCGGTATCCCCGACCATTTCCGATGTCCCCGACCATTTCCAGTGTCCCCTGCCATTTCCGGTGTCCCATGCCATTTCTGGTGTCCCCTGCCATTTCCGGTTTCCCTGACCATTTCCGGTGTGCCCTGCCATATCCGGTGTCCCCGACCATTTCCGATGTCCCCTGCCATTTCCGGTATCCCCTGCCATTTCCGGTATCCCCTGCCATTTCCGGTGTCCCCAGCCATTTCCGGTGTCCCCTGCCATTTCTGGTATCCCTGCCATTTCCGATGTGCCCTGCCATTTCCGGTATCCCCGACCATTTCCGATGTCCCCGACCATTTCCGATGTCCCCTGCCATTTCCGGTATCCCCGACCATTTCCGATGTCCCCGACCATTTCCGTTGTCCCCTGCTATTTCCGGTGTCCCCTGCCATTTCTGGTATCCCCTGCCATTTCCGGTGTCCCCTGCCATTTCTGCATGGTATCCCCTGCCATTTCTGATGTCCCCTGCCATTTCTGATGTCCCCTGCCATTTCTGGTATCCCCTGCCATTTCTGGTATCCCCTGCCATTTCTGGTATCCCCTGCCATTTCTGATGTCCCCTGCCATTTCCGATGTCCCCTGCCATTTCTGATGTCCCCTGCCATTTCCGGTGTCCCCTGCCATTTCTGCATGGTATCCCCTGCCATTTCTGATGTCCCCTGCCATTTCTGATGTCCCCTGCCATTTCCGATGTCCCCTGCCATTTCCGGTGTCCTCTGCCATTTCCTGTGTCCCCTGCCATTTCCGGTGTCCCCAGCCATTTCTGCATGGTATCCCCTGCCATTTCTGATGTCCCCTGCCATTTCTGATGTCCCCTGCCATTTCCGATGTCCCCTGCCATTTCCGGTGTCCTCTGCCATTTCCTGTGTCCCCTGCCATTTCCGGTGTCCCCTGCCATTTCCGGTGTTCCCGACCATTTCCGATGTCCCCGACCATTTCCGGTGTTCCCTGCCATTTCCTGTGTCCCCTGCCATTTCCGGTGTCCCCTGCCATTTCCGGTGTCCCCTGCCATTTCCGGTGTCCCCGACCATTTCCGGTGTGCCCTGCCATTTCCGGTGTCCCCGACCATTTCCGGTTTTTCTTTGCCATTTCCGATGTCCCCTGCCATTTCCGGTGTCCCCTGCCATGATACTGCTGGCCTGCTGCTGATGTAGCATCAAACTTGACTCACTCACCCACTCAGCCAACTTGTGTTTTGTGCTCGATCCACTCTAGCAGAACTTCCCTGGATTCAGAAGAGGTCACTTGATAAGGTTATAGGCAGGGAGTGAAGCAGGCTTGACAAACACGTTGACCCACTGAACAAATCTGTTGACCCACTGGAAAAGCACACCTAAACTTAACATGATAAAATCAGTCAAGACAAATAATTTTGATCCAACTGACTAATGAAAATATGAAATGTAGGTCTCCTTATTTAGCCATGTTTAGTTTACTTTTAACACAGAATACAACATAATTTGGAAGTACATGGTTAACAGTCTGTGCCAAAATCTTTTTAGACTACCAGCTTGAACCTGTCAATCAACATCATTCTCAGTAGATCTTAGTGTTACTGTGTCATGTGTATGGGCTGATACAAGACCACAAGATAGTTTACTGCACATAGGCTTCGGACAAGTGGCTAAAGTCACAGACTGGTTGACACAGTAACACATGATTAACCATGAAAATGTGTAACTGTAGTTGTCTAGCAAGTGTTCAGGGATTATTAAAACACACCTGTGACGTCATTCTATTGTTTGAGCGCTCCATTAGTTTCAGGGAATGGAGAGTTGATTGTATTCTCTGCCGCTGTGGCTATGCTCCTTCAAGGCTGATCCATACTCTGCATGTTTCATGGCTCTTTAGAATGTTTTGTCAAATTGTAAAAGTAGAGATGTGTTTTAAGTAGGGGAATATCCTCATAACTCTCCATTCCTTATAAATAATGGGCCACTGCTCCATTATTTTTAAATAATAGAGAGTTACTCGGACATTCCCCTCTATGTAATATTTCTGAGAGGCAGCTCCTGTTGGTGGACAGAGGAGATTTGTCAAACCCACAACAGACTCAAGGGTCTGTGCAAATATTGTCAACTTGACTGTCAAGAGATAGACTTTATCAGTGTTAATTGTGGGCTGGTAATCCATCATTTTGGTCAGTGGACAGTTTCCAGTCAAGACCAGGTCAGGTAGATGTATTACGTTCACTGACGGGCATGGAAATACCTCGAGGGCTCCTTCAAGTACAGTCCATCATCATGATGCAAGGTTTCAGTAAACTCTGTGTGTGATATTCGAGTCAATGTGCAGTTCATATTTTTTGTACTCCTGACATTGGGGACCAAGATAATTTCTCAGTTTGGTTGCTGTGTTGTAATCAGGGTTGTTTGTTGGTTCACATGTAGTTAGCATGGTGAGATGTACACGCCTAGCTGTTGGCTGGCGACGTGGTGGGTTAATGTTTACGATCATGCCGCAAGGCAGGGACTGTGGACAGGAGGACGACCTGGTCCTTGATACACTGGATAAGTACATGTATTCGGGCAAGCAGACATCACAGATGGATTGTGCATCATATCTATGACTTGTGTCTCAGCCCTGGAGTCATGGGGCCTCCACTGCCTGGGGCATGACAAG